GTGGGGGGGGAGGGGCATGTAACACCTGTGACCGCCACAGGCATCTGCACATATATGAGCATACCCACACATGCACATACCCACAGACAAACAAAAACACATCATTAAAATGTTTTGAGTAATCTTTCAAAAAAGACAAGAGAATAAGCTCTACAAAACACAATTTTACAACTGTTACCAACTTAGAACTTAACTCTTGGGTTCCATTATTTATTAAGGAGCACACACCATACAGCAAGCCCAACAGTCCCTGCGGTCAGGAAACCTACCATTTACTCCATGACGTCTTACCCTGTTTTGTTTTAGATTTATTTATTTTATGCACATGAATCGCTGGCCTGCATGTATGCAGTGCATCATGTGTGTGTCTGGTGCCTTCACAGGTCAGAAAGGGCATGGGATCCCTGGCACTGGATGGCTGTGAGCCAGCATGTGAGCTCTGGGAATGGAGCCTGGGTCTCCTACAAGAGTCATATCTCCCATTGCTGTTTGTAATAATTCGTTTAACTGTTAAAATCATTTTAGTATCTACAGAAAAAAAAAAAGCCACACTGCCCCCTAGCACCCCCAATTCTATGACCACAAAGTTAACTTAGTGTATATTTTTCCAACTTTTGTTCCATGCATAGTTTATAAAATAAATTTTTAATTTTAAATCTCTCTCTCTCTCTCTCTCTCTCTCTCTCTCTCTCTCTCTCTCTCTCTCTCTCCCACCTGCCTCTGCCTCCTGAGTGCTGGGATTAAAGGTGTGCACCACCACCTCCTGGCCTAAATGTTTAGTAATTCTCTGATGACAGCACACATGCATAAAGTAAATTCGTTTTCTCCAGTCTAGGAGCAAACATCCAAGTGAGATGAAAAGCCAACTGAAGTTCTTCTAAAACCTGGAAGACAATGCACTTTCATTTTCTCTTTGTATTATTTTATGTCTTCCCAATGAAGTGGGTTAGTTCTTAATACAAGTTTTGAATACTTGTTAAATTTATTCTTCTAACCAGTTTCTCTCTCCATGAGTGAGATCTTCTCCACTGCTGCTGTAGAATATTAGTTTACAATGTGTTACATTCGTTTATTCAAAGATGCATTGCTTTTGTTTACGCTGCATTCGCTTAACTCTGTGCAGCTGTTACTCTGCCTGTCTAAAATACCTGATTGGTCTAAAAAAGGGCTGAACAGCTACCAGCAAGGCGGGAGGAAGAATGGGTGAGGTTAACAGGCAGAGAGAATACCTAGGAGAGAAGGAGGAAAGATCCAGGGACCACACAGCCAGACACGGAATAAGAAGGAAAGAAAGATACACAGAAACAGAAAAGGAAAATACCCAGAGGCAAAGGGTAGATGAGATAATTTAAGAAAAGCTGGCAAGAAACAAGCCAAGCTAGGGCTGGGTACCTCCGTGTGGTTTATTTGGGAGCTGGGTGGCAGGCCCCCAAGAGTAAAGTGTAAAGAGTCCAAAGAGTAAAACCAACTACATTCTCCTCGCTGTAATTATTCTCATTCGCTTCCTTCTCATGTTTCACTTATTTTGGATGTTTTATAACCAAGTATGTTAACATACTGCCGACGTACCTTTTCCTCTTGAAGGGCGACTTTGGCATGTCCGCCACAGGGATCATCTGCTCTCCTGGACGCACCCACATGATAGGGCCATCATCGCTATCTTTCCGACTCTCTAGCTTTAGACTAGAGAGTGTTCCCCACGGCAACGTACACTAGAAACAAATAATAGCACAAATTAGTTATTCTCAAAATATATCTTCAAATATGTACTAAAACTATTACGAGGAGGGATATGTGGGTGGGGTAAGACAGAGAGGGGTAAATAATGTAATTATATTAATCCCAAAAAATATTACCTGAGAGTCAACAAATGAAACAGACTGATAATTAAAACAAAAAAATTCTAATTCTCCTTATAAGAATCTTTACCATGTATTAACAAAGGTTAAAATTAGATTGGAGGAAAAAAAGTTCCCCTCTTAAACACATATAGAACTTTAACCCACTCCCACCAAAAAGTCAAATGCACCCTTAATTGGTGATAGTCAAATACTAATGTCATAAAAAAACACACACACACAAACCAATCAAAATATTTGTTTAGTAGTTTCTTGACAAGGCTGCTTTTTTTCTTTTTCTTTTTTTTTCTTTTTTTGAGACAGAGTTCCTCTGTAGCTTTGGAGCCTGTCCTGGAACTAGCTCTGTAGACCAGGCTGGTCTCGAACTCACAGAGATCCGCCTGCCTCTGCCTCCCGAGTGCTGGGATTAAAGGCGTGCACCACCATTGCCCGACAAGACTGCTGGTCTTAAGGCAGAAACTAAATTCCTAAAGAAGTGAGGGAGGAGGGAAGCACTAGATAAAGGGATGGGATGTCTTCATCACCTCACTGTCCCGTTTGAAAGAGCTAAATTTTCTACAAACAAGAAGAATGATTATGCTCAAAGTACTTGCTATGACTAACTGGAAAAGGAAAAAGAAATGAAAAGTGTAAAAGCTATAAAGGGGGAAAGAAAGAAAGAAAAATAAAGTCAAAGTAGACCACAGGCTATATAACACACGAGGCAGGACACAGTCAGTCATGCAATGGCTCAGGTGGTCGGCTGGAGAGCAGCCCCACATTCTGCTGTGACCACGGCCCTACCTGTCGGGAGGGTCACACTTATCCTTGAATTATTGCTTATTAAGGAACTAACTACGCAGTTCAGATACAGTAAGAATGCAGCAGCTGCTGCAAAACAGAAGGGAGGGGAGGGTCTGGCCGCAAGGCTGCGCAGCAAGAGAGCTCAGCACAAAACTGACGCGGCCTGCGTCCGAGTCTCACAACGCATGCAAATGTGAAAAAGATGAAATTTAACATGGAAAAGATGGGGATAGGGTGCACAAAGTTGTCTTCTGACAGGTACATATACCTCATGGCCCGTGTGTGCCCCAAACCCACGTGTACTCATAATAATGAATACATTTTTTTAAAAAGAATATAAAATGGAAGTTGATTAGAAAAATTTTAGAAACAAAAATGGAGCATGAGCTGAATGTTTGATGCAACTGTACAGCTCCCCAGGTCAGTTCCCACCATGTTCCCACCACCAACTGTACAGCTCCCCAGGCCAGTTCACACCATGTTCCCACCAAACCCTGGTTCTCACAAAGCTTACTAGGCATCCTCATCTGAATCTTCTTGTACAGACGCAGTAACAAGCAATGTTATTTGCTGATTCACCCTTTAACTTTGTCATTACAATAAAGACTGAGAAATTTGGGCAGCGGTGGCACACGCCTTTAATCCCAGCACTCGGGAGGCAGGGGCAAGCGGATCTCTTGAGTCTGAGACCAGCCTGGTCTACAAAGTGAGTTCCAGGACAGTCAGGACTGCTTCACAGGGAAACCCTACCTCGAAAAACAAGCAAACAAACACACCAAAAAAAAAAAAAAAAAAAAAAAGCTGAGAAACTGCACGTATACATAGGTTTCCTTTTTTGAATTTAAATAAAAATTTAAAAAAAATAATTGTAAACAACCATTCATCTGTATCAACTATAACTTGAAAGTAACACCCACAACTTAGAATGCTAAGACTTTCTCTTACTTTTAAGAACGGTGACTCCTCCAACATGTCAAGGAACTCAGGGAAGAAATCTCCTACTTCTTCATCAACGGCTCCCACCAAGCTAATCTGTCGCATGGGGCCAGCTCTGTAAGTACCATGAGAATATGTTCTTTTTACCTGAGAGACATGAATTTAATTAAGTTAAATAAGTCAGACATATATATATGAAGTGTTTGTTATTGTCACATAACAATGAATTACATCATTTCAGACTACTAGAACATAGCCAGAAATAAAGAAAATACAAGGCAGAAAAAAAAGAAGTCTGTAATAATGAGGCATTTTATAAAAAATATTAATAAGCCAGCTAATTTCTGTTTCTCTGTCTGCAAACTACTCACTAGGAGACTTCAAATGAACAGCACTGTATGAACAACCAGCGGCACCGTCTTCTAGTCGTTGTTTGATACAGTACCACTAAAAATATTCAAAACGACACACCATTTTTCTAGATAGACAGCTCTTATCTTTCACAGCTGTCAAATGACCGACGTTCCTAGTGGTTAAATGTCAAAAGCCACTAAGGATTTTCTTTCATTCTGGATAAGATTTTCACTAGCAGCCAGTTCACACACTATCCTCAACTCTGATGAAATGGTTGAAATTCCGAGTTGGAAATCCTAGGCCACAAAATCACCCCTGCCATCAACCTGCTAACTTCAGATCCCACATAAAGTCCTGCTCTCATTGTGACCCAGATCAGAGAAGACAAGACAGTGCTCATAAAGCACCTGTGTGACCGAGCGGTCTCCGTCTGTGGGTTTGCTGTCAATTTGCTCCTCACAGACGATGGTGCGTTGTACAGAGAATAGAAATGGGAGGTATCATTTCAAGCTTCTTTTCCTAAACAAACTTTAGTCAAAATTCCAATTATCGCTTTTTTTTTTCAAAAGTAAGACTTTGTGGCCACAATATGTTGAAGATCACTGATTAGTTTGCCCAGGACTGACCTAGTTTAAACCACAGTCCTGTAGTACAAGCAAACCCATATGGCCATGCTTCTGTGATTATAAAACCTACACAACTGGAATAGCATGCATAGATCAACACATGCAAAGTGCCAGTTCTGGCCCACATACTTTAGGAAACATGACAATAAATATTGTATTACCCTAGAATAACTCTAAGACACCAGAATTTCATTCTTATCATAATCAGCAAGCATTGATTCTTTAAATTTTTATCATGATGAACATTAACTTTATTTAAGAATTGTAAGTTTAACTTTTCCATTATCTGTCAAAACTTCACTGCTCAGATTCACAAGCCAAGCCCCAAGTCACAAAATGTGCAGATCATACTTCACCTAAAAGGTCCCATCATCCCTGCATCAATGGTTCCCAATCTCTGGGTTGTGCCAGGTGATCATACTTCACCTCACAGTGAGGGTCCCACCCTCTCCTGTCTCCTAAAAGGTCCCATCATCCCTGCATCAATGGTTCCCAACCTTTGGGTTGTGCCAGGTGTTTACATCACGATTGGCAACATAGCAAAATACAGTTATGAGGTAGCAACGGGATAGTTTTATGGTTGAAGACACAATATGAGGAACCGTGTTAGAGTCACAGCATCAGGAAGCTGAGGACCACGGCCATAGAAACAACAAACTGAGAGTCTGAACTGACTCGGAGACATGAGGGTATCACAGTGGGAACCTGGTCAGAGTGTGGTTCAGTATGGTCGTCTTGAACAAACCAAGTCGCCAGTCTGAACTCCAGCAAACATCCCAGATTAACAGTAGGGAACCTGGGCACGAGTGTGGTTCAGTAAAGTCGTCTTGAAAACGCTACGGTCGCCATTCTGAACTCTAACAAACATCCCAGAATAACAGTAGGCAACCTGGGTCTATTGTTCAGTACGGTCGTCTCGGACAAACCCACGGTCACCAGCCTGAACTCCAACGAACATCCCAGAATACAATACAAAAACTATTAAATGATTCTGCATTCATGTACTTGGTTTGAGGTGACTATATGAATTATGAGAAACCGCAAAGCTATTGAAGAGGGAAATTAGGGCTGAGGGTACAGATCCCTTGCTTAGCAATTATAGAGTCCTGGGATTGATCCCCAACATGGGCGGGAAGAGGAAGGGAAGAAGTAAGATCAACTTGTTATAAAACACAAACTTACCGAGGGTTTTGAAATGTAACAAAGGACAATTTAGGGAGCTAATGTTTCCGTGTCATACAGGCAGTTAAGTTTGCTGTGCATACATTTATTTAAGTCAGATACCTGAATATCACCTATGTTACTAAACAATTCTAACCACCAATAATAAATCCTTAGTATCCCTGTACAAACAAGACAAAATACCAAACCAGAGGCTGGGCAGTGGAGACACACCCCTTTAATCCCAGCACTAGGGAGGCAGAGGCAGGTACATCTGACTTCGAGGCCAGCCTGACGGTACAAACCAAGTTCTAAGACAACCAAGGCTCCAGAGAGAAAGCAAAAAAGAGGGGGGCGCTGGAGAGGTTCACAAGTTAAGAGAGGACCCAGGTTCAATTCCCAGCAGCACATGGCAGCTCACAACTGACAGAAACTCCAGTTCCAGGGGACCCAACACTCTCACACAGGCATACATTCAAGCAAAATACCAATAAAATAAATATTTTTTAAAACTACCCAAACAGAGGCTGGGTGGTGGAGATACACGCCTTTAACCCCAGCACCTAGGAGGCAGAAACAGGCGGATCTCTGTGACTTTGGGGCCAGCCAGGTCTACAACAGCTAGTTCTAGGACAGGTTCCAAAGCTACAGAGAAACCCTGTCTCGAAAAACAAAACAAAACATTATTTGAGTTATGAAAAAAGAGATGAACATATGTCCACTTTACTACATCAAATAATAACCCATTAAATAATGTATATGATTTTCAATTAAATAATTAATTTCATTCAATAACATAAAAGAATTTTCAATGAGTGAATTCTTCTCAAGTAGTAAGCACACTTCAATATGAGCTCTCCCGAAGACGTGATATTTAATACTCTTTCATAGCAAGAAAAAGAGAGAAAAAAATAACTTTTTCTACTATATGCCATGACTGCATACAAAAGACATGAAAGAACACTGTGTAAAGTAAATTTAAGGGCGACCAAGGGAAGGGGAAATAAGTCTGAAATTGTACATCTATTTAGCTAGTGTGTAAATGAAGGCACACTGTTTGAAATAATCTATTTCTCTAATAAGTAAAAGCTGGCTTCCGCCCCACTATCCCGTAACTTTTGTTTTTTAATTCAGATAACTATTTCTACTCCACAAGAAAGAGGGAGAAGGCTGGCGTGTGGTGCACATCTTTAACCCCAGTGCTCAGGAGTCAGAAGCAAGCAGATCTCTATTGTGTGAATCCATCCCGGTCCACATAGTGATTCTAGGACAGCGAAGGCTGAGCCAGGTACACCAGCACAGACCTACTGGGGAGGAGACACAGAGTATTGCAAATTTGAGGCCAGCTGAGGGGAGGTGGAGATATTCAACCATGACTAAGCTTTAAAAAATAATATAATCAAGTAAGTTTGGAAAATCCTTGTGCAATAAATGCCCATATGTATGCTAAATTTCTGAAAAGACTCAGCAAATAAACCAAATTTGTTTGATCTAGAATGCATGTGTTATTCCCTGATCCACAAAGTCCCCCAAATACCAACAAGGAGACTGAGTCCCGTACATAAAAGTAAAAGCAAAAGAGCCTTTATTTTATGCAAGTTTACACACTCGGTCCCCCTGCATGTCCAGCGTACTGCAATAATCAGAGAACCTGGAGCTCAGTTAGAGTTGGGTTTTATAGTAGTAAAGGTGGGGGTGAGGGGTTTCCGAGGTTCAGGACCCCTGATTGGCTGACATTTGTCCAGGGGTGTCCTGGTGAGTGTGTGCTGGCAGGCGATCCTATCTACAGCAGCTGGAACATCAGACATTTCCTTTGGAAGGTCTGTTCTTGGGTGGTCCTTCCTGCAAACAGGTATTACCTCAGGGTAAACTACTGAGACCCAGGCCTCCATTAAACTTATGGCTATGTTCTAAACTTATCACTGGCAGGTGATGATGGCTGGAAGTAAAGAACTTCCCTTGGGTGGTCTGTTCATATTTAGCTTTTCATGGCTGGTTCCTGCAACATGAACTATTTTCATTTCAAAACCTGTTTTAGTACTCCCATCAATATCCCAAGATATTAGCAGTTCTTCCGAACAGCAATCCATAAAACACCTAAAACGCACACACGTCAACTTGTATCAAAGCAGGTTGAATGCGGGCGCTTAGAGGCGAAGGAGTAAAGCAGCCGCTCTCTGGCTCGTCCTTAGGGAGTAGCGCAGTCCCTTATGTTAATCAGTGGGCTGTCTGCCACATTACTGTTTAACAGTTATTTGCTGTTTATTATTTGCCTATGTAGTATGTTCACGGCAAAGGGAGACGGGGATTTGGGATAGGTTGGTCCGTGTGTGGATTGTCAAGGCAGTGTGCAGTGTGGAGGCCACGGGACAGTCCACGGGAGAGCCGATTCTCTCCTTCCACCACAAAGGTGTCGGGTTAGGCTTGGCAAGGCTACTTCCTGCCCCTGCTCCACACTCTTGGTGATGCAGTCTCACACCATCTGATATGGAAAGGAGGGTACCACAAGAGGGCACCACTTCTAACACACACTCTCAAATACGATCGTGATGGGTGATAGTTAAGCGCACGGTCAGAGAAGGAATCGTTGACTACCTCAATCTTCTCCACCTTAATTTCTGACACATGGGTCTCTCACAGGGCCTAGAATTTGAAAATTTGGCCAGACTGGCTTGCAACCAGACCTCAGGGCCCCTCCTGTCTCTGCCTCCCCAGCACTGGAATCACAGGAGGGCTCGGCTGCCGTGGGCTTTTCTCAGGATGCTAGAGACAGAACTCAGGGCTTCATGCTTGGACATTAGCACTTTATGGAAGGACACAACTCCTCAGCCCCTTATTTCTTTTATTTTAAAAATACGTGTAACTTCAATAAAAAATGTTATTAATATTCATCTTTAAATTAATAAAGCAGAAAAATAGACTTTCCCAGTTACAGCCTTGGTTCCCACCCCATACAAGAGTGGGATCTGCAGATACCTCACTGTTAACAGCACATGAGAACGTCTT